TTCCGAGGATTTGCAGATTCGGGTCGACGATACCCGGACAGAATCGTCGATCACGAGTAAGTTAAATCAAATAATAATTTTTTTATTCCCAAATAGAAAATGAAATAAAATTAAAAACTTTTGTATTTTCTTCATGAATATATGGTAATTAACTTTATAATGTGCAAAATAAATAAATAAATAAAATAATGTTTTTTTCAGCCGTGTGATTTGGTTAGGGGATTTGAATTATCGAGTGGGATTGAGGTATGAAGAAGCAAGGATTCTGTTGGAGGATAATAATTGGGACTCACTCTTGGAGAAAGATCAGGTTGGTGGAGTCAAATCTTTTTGTTGACTTTTTTTTTTAATAATATTATTGTGTGATTTAAAAAGTCAAAATAAACCTAATTACTAATCACACATCCAAATCTTAATCATGTAAGTTCATAATTAGGCAACTCATTTTCTTGAAACGTGCAAGTTTTCAGCACCTTTGATTTAAGGTTGCGATTTCTGACTCAGGGCAAATTACGGCCACCCCTAAGGTATGGTTAAATTACAAAAATACCCTTTTACTGTAAGGGTGGATGTGTAAGACTGTATAGTTGAGGGGTGGTTGTAATTATTCAAACACGATGAATTATTTTCGTAATTTGACATTACTTTAAGAGATGCCTGTAATTTTTTTTCGTATTTTCTAGTTAATAATATATATTTGCAAATAAAGGGATGTGATTACATCATTATTTATGTATCTTTGCCTTTTCACATATGATTGATTAAGGGTTGAGTAATCTAAGGATAATTTGCTTAAGGATGATTAAAGATTTTTGATTTTTTTTATACTAATGTGTGTACGATGATGTACGATAGCTGAATACGGAGAAAGAAGCGGGAAGAGTGTTTGGCGGGTGGAGTGAAGGCAAGATACTATTTGCTCCGACGTACAAATACTCTCATAATTCCGATTCGTACGCCGGAGAAACTACCAAGTCCAAGAGGAAAAGGAGGACCCCCGCCTGGTAAATTCACTATTCAACTTCAAGAAAATCGGTTAAAATTTCATACTTACATCTGACGAAATACACTGAATACGTCATTATCACACGTAAAAACACACGTATTCGTACTTTGTGTGTGTATAGACATGCCCATAGTTTGAGTTAGACCGGACCAAAATTGACTTGTGGTTGACGTGTCGATTGATCATGTCAATGTGTCGATGAACTCGAATCAACCCATATTATATATATATACAATTTATCAATGGATGGATTTTAATTTCAATATATTATTACAGGTGCGACAGAATACTATGGCGAGGCAACGGAATCGAACAGCTGTCGTACATACGAGGAGAGTCGAGATTATCCGACCACAGACCCGTTTGCGCAGTCTTCGCGGTGGAGGTTGAGGTGAAGAGCAAAGGAATCGCAAGATTCCGAAAGGGATATTCCTGCGCCGGCACCAAGTTGGAACTTCAAGAATGCTTGCCTCAAAGGCACAGCTTCTGCCATTTTTAGCTTTTAGCTTTTAGCTTTTAAGTTTTATACCATCATCTCTCTACTAATTTTGTTACTTTCCCATCTTTCTCTATTTATTTCATCCAAATTGTGAATATGCATATAAATATATATTTATCACAATCTTTAATATAACAAACATATGAGTTATGACATATAGTAAAGAAAACACCTCAAAGAAAAAAAAAAAGGACATAAATTAAATTAAATTAAACATGGGGAAAAAGACATGTTATTAGTAGTACTTATAATAATTATTATTAGTATTACTCTTCATTATCCTCATAAGCCAAATCCCAAACAGAAGTCGAAATTTCCTCCGGCAAGAGCAACTCCGCCATATCACCACCACTGCCGCCGCCGCCGCCACCGTAACCCGTATCCAAATGTAACTGATCAATCAGATTTTGATCACCACCCCAATAATTACCATAATCTCCATACGAAACATGATTGGTCTTTTCGAGCGCTAATTGTATCCATCCACTTAATTCCATTTTGTCACTCGAATCCTTGTCCGAAAACCCTAATTCTTCGATGCATTTTAACGATTTCGAAGAAGCGCACGTAGAATCGAAACCGCACTTCCTCTTGTCGTTGCTCGTATACAAATCGGACTCTATACGATCTTCTTCTTCTTCTTCTTCTTCTTCGTCGTCCGAGATTTTGAGGGATTTTTTCGTCAATTTCGAAAGCGCTTCTTCGTGGTTAACGACTTTCGACCACGTGGCGGAATCTTTAGCACTCATCTTATGCTGCAGAATCTTCGACTTCTTGACAACCCTCCGCATCCTGTCTAAATCCGGCGACATGTGTTGTATGATCGCCGCCAGGAGGCTGACTTTCCATGCCTTCTTGAGGTCGTGCGGCTTCCGGTACGGCGGCGGGCCGTGCTCCCGCGCCGCCCCTTGTAGGCCCCACCACATCTCGTCGCCCCTCGGCCACCACGGCGGCGCAAGCCCCCTCTCCAGCGGGAACCGCCGCTGCGGCGGCAGGCAGTGCTGCAGCAGGGCGGAGAGGATGGAGCCCAGGGTGGTGTCCGGGAGTTCCTGCAGTAGATACATGCATGATATGGGGTCTAGGTTTCCGGCGGCGGTCTGCTCGACGATTTTGGGGAGAAACTCGGCGATGGCGGCGGGGGCGTTCTTGTCGAACGCCGCCTTCTCCTTCCACCACTTGCGGAGGCTGTCGGAGGAGCCCGTCACCGGCTTTCCCTTCTCCGGCACGATCCCGTAGACGAATCCCTGCGCGTTGCAGACCTCCATGATCTTCACCATGTATTTCAAGATCGTGTCTTGCGAGCGGCAGATTTTTTTCCGGCGGGATTGCTCGAGCTTCGACTGCGATTCGGGCTCCTCCATCTCACGCGCCGCCTTGAGCTTCTTCATGCGGAGGCGGTCTTTCCACATGCGCCGCTGGAGATCGTCGTAGCCTAGAGCTTCGTCCTCGCTCGCCTCGCTCGGGCTCCGGGGATCAATTTCGCCGTCTATCTCCACCATTTATTTATTTTTTAATTGTATAGAGCGGGAAATTGAAAAGGAGAGTACCGATGAGAGAAACAAAGTCGATATATATGCAATAGTGCAATTTACGAGAACTGAGGGGACGTATTAATTAATTAATTAAAAGATGAAAGAAAAGATGCAGAGTAATAATGGGGCGGGGTGGTGGCGCGTAGAGAAGAAAACGCGTGATTTGGCGGTGAAATTCAAAGATCGGGCGATGTGAGCAGTGATGAAAGAGTTTGGCATGTTGGGGCAGTACTGCGCGCGGCAGAGAGAGCAACAAACTTTCATTGGGTTTGCGTGCGTGTACACCACGTGGCTTTTGCTGGGAGAGCCATTCATTTTGACTCATATCACCAAATTGAATTATTTTTATTGTTTCTTTGTTTTAGACTCTTTTAGTTATTACTAGCATTTTTTTTCCCATGCGATGCACGGGGTCGTATTTTAAATGTGAAAAAGAAATTTAATACATAATAGAATAAATATAATACACTAACATAGTAAAATTTAAGTATTATTTTATATAACATTATTGATGAAAAATAGGATTATCTCTTAAGATTTGAGATATATTGATGAAAAATAGGAAATTGAAGCCGGAAGAATTCTTCACGAACATAAAAAATAAATAATTACAGAAATGTCATTAGCTTTTCTTAGGATAACCCTAACGTTTCTTTCTTTTGTATATAAGATTAATTAATTAATTATTAGGGTAAATTCCACCTACCCCTTGTACTTTTGCTCGTTATCACTTTACCTTCTTTTACTCTCGATTGCATTGATTTGTCTCCTTGTACTTGGAAAATTTTCTCAATGTGGCACTCGACGTTAGTTTTCAGACCTTTGACTTTAACACTGTTTGATCCAATTCAGAAAATTACAAAAAAGTCACCCCTCCCGGTTTAAATAATTATTAAAAAAATTAAAAAAATTAAAAATAAATTGTGGTTGAGGTCGTGGACTATGTTTTCTCGTTGTTTTGGATTTTTTATTATTTTAGTTTTTGTTTATTTATTTAATTTTTTTTAATAATTATTTAAACTCGGAGATGTGGCGTTTTTGTAATTTCAGAGCTTAGATCAAACTGTGTTAATGTCAAATGCATCACAACTAACAGCAAGGGCTATATTGATACAATTTTTCAAGTGCAGAGGGACAAATCGATGCAATCTATAATCGAAGGGGGTAAAGTGATAACAAGCCAAAGTACAATGGGAAAACTGGAATTTCCCATTTATATTTGAGAAAACTTAAGTTACAACAAACAACCCATAACCTTAATTCTATGATTGTTATTAGAGCCCAAATTACTATTTTTATATTGTGTCTATACAAGAATATATTTTTTTTACCTTACATTACCAATCTCGGTTTCGTAGATACTACACCCGATGAAGTACATCGGTGATTTTGAACCATTAATTTACATATAATAACACACATTCATATGTATGTGTACTTAGCGAATGAATTATTCATATAGATCTACTGTTCAAAATTACACAGTGTATTACATCAGATATAGCATCTCACAGGTTGTCAGGTATGTTGTATATAATCCCATTTCGATGTAACATGAATTAAATTGGCCACACTACAATAACTTGTAAAAATAACATCTTAAAAAAAAATGTACTCTTAGGGTTTCACTACTTGGAGCAACTAACGTCCGCACAACGGGCTGGATACGTTACTCCAACACACTTAGCACGCATACACGTGAATATGTATGATTATGTGTAAATTTGCTGTGGAAAATCCGTTAAGTACAAAATAATCGGGAGTAACATCTAATTACTCTTCCTAATTATCAGTCAAAGATAACCATATATGTGAAATACATATAATAAACAATATTGACATAACTAACAAAATACATAAACATATGCACCATCAAACTCCAGTTTCTGCTGTCAATAAATAGAGTTCATAACAACAAAAGACAACTCCCACAAAGGAACAACATAAAACATCATGGGAAACCTCGTATAGACTTCGTAGTCGTTTTTGATTTATCGTTGGTTACGCATGTTGATTGAAAGGGAACGCGGAAGCAGAAGTAGTCGAAGTTTCGTCGGGTAAAAACATCCGATCAATGTCGTCGTCACCACCATAACCAAGATAGTCAAATTGTAACTCCTCAATAAGATCTTCTCCCCAATAATTCCCACATACATTATTTGTCATACTATTACTCTTTTCAATTGCCATTTTTACCCATTGGCTCAATTCCGTTTCCTCCTCAATTACTTCTTCGTCGTTGTTGTAATTTCCACTCCATATCGAATCGTAATCGACACTTTTTTGACATTTCGTGCTCTCGTCACTATCATACGTAGAAGTATCGAACGCGCATTTCCTCTTATCGTTACTCGAAGAATACAAATCGGGCTTTTCATGATTCGCAACAAGTAATCTTTCTTCTTCTTCTTCTTCGGGGATTTCTTCGGGGATTTTGAGTGATCGTTTCGACACAATAGAAAGTGCTTCTTCTTGATTAACAACTTTCGACCAGGTGGCGGTATCTTTCGTCGTCATGTTATGCTGCAGAATCTTCGACTTGGTCACGAAACCCCTCATCCGATCCAAATCCGGCGACATGTGTTGTATTATCGCCGCCAATACACTCACCTTCCACGCCTTCTTCAGATCGTGTGGCTTCCGGTACGGCGGCGGCCCTTGCTCCCGCGCCGCCACCCCCTGTTGGCCCCACCACAGCTCGTCGCCCGTCGGCCACCACGGCGGCGCCTGCCCTCGATCCAACGGAAAAGTCCGCTGCGGCGGCAGACAGTGCGGAAGCAAGGCGGAGAGTATCGATCCCAGAGTTGTGTCCTGCAGTTCCTGCAGCAGATGCATACAGGACACCGGGTCCAAAACTCCGGCGGCGGCGATCTCCGGCAGTAACTCGGCGATGGCGGCGGGAGCATTCTTGTCGAAAACAACAGTATCCTTCCACCAGGTGCGGAGGCTCTCCGACGAGCCGGTCAACGGGGTGCCATTCTCCGGCAGGATGCCGTAGACGAAGCCCTGGCCCTTGCAGACATCCATGATTTTGACCATGTATCTGAGAATCGAATCTTGGGCTCGGGTTATTTTCTTCCGGCGAGATTGCTCGACACGGGGCTGTGAACCGGGCCGGGCTTTGAACTTCTTCATCAGGGCCCGGTCATTCCACATCCGCCGCTCCAGATCGTCGTAGCTGATTTCTTCTTCCTCGTTCAACTCCGCAGCTCGGATTATTGGTTGCTCAAATTCACCGTCCAACTGCACCATTGTCTTGTTTTTTTTTTTTTTTTCTTTCTGGTGTCAAAATGCACTAATTTACGGCTTCGGTGTTTTTTTTTTTGGTCGGAGGAATATAGAGAAGAAAAGTTTGAGAGAAACAAAATTAAAGGTTGCAATATATATATATATATATATATATATATATATTTAAAGAAATTAGCTATAGGTCCTCGGGCGAACCATAATTAGCTCAAGTAAAACAAACCCAAATCGAACCGAACCGAAAATTCGATAGGTGCCGAGCCGGTAATTCAGTTCGGTATTCGTTTTTTTATTTGGTTTCTGGATTTCTGATAATTCAATTCTATCGAATACCGAAATTTTATTTTTTATACTAAAATTATATTATTTTTATACTACAACTTGTAAAAAATAAATAAATATCCAATTTTAAAAAAAATACTTTTAATAAAATTTCGGTAATTCAGTTATTGACCCGCATATTTCGGTTCGATAAACGATATTTTTAAAACCCACTAAATTTTATCTATTTAATTAGCAGAATACTAACTTATCGATAAATTAATACTCCCTCCGTCCCAATTTAAATGTCGTTTTGGGTTGTTTTGCACATATTAAGAAAATCAATAAATGTACATAGATTATAGTAAAAGAACATATAAAATTACAAAATATCATTGACATTAATTGATTCTCAATTAATTAATTATGAGTGATTAGGGGTAAAATTTGAAAATAATGTCATTAAAGCTTCGTTGAAAATCTAAGATGACAAATAATTTGGGACAAAAAAACTCCCTAGAAAGACATATAATATGGGACAGAGGGAGTAG